TGTGGAGCACAGGCTCCGGACGAGCAGGCTCAACGGCCATGGCTCACGGGCCCAGCCGCTCCACGGCATGTGGGATCCTCCCAGACCGGGGCATGAACCCGTATCCCCTGCATCGGCAGGCGGACTCTCAACCACTGCGCCACCAGGGAAGCCCAGTAATTGGTTTTTATTTAACAATTATTGTAAGTCAAGCACCATTCCAAGCATTCTAACATATATTATTACCTCATTTAATCCTTATACCAACCTAATGAGATAGTACTGTTATCCCCATTTTACAGCTCAGGAAAATGAAGCATAGATAAAGTGACTTGCCCTGTGTGTTATATAGCTAGTGAGTTACAGAGCTGAGATTTGAACTCAGATAATCTGTGCATTAATTGAATAATATAAAAATGAATAAATCCCTGTTTTCAAGTTATCATCAAGTTAGAGGTGATATTTATGCAGATTTCTTTCACTTATGCTGTGAAAGAAGTTAAACGTCATAAAACAGTTTTATTTAGTTAAAGGGCATCAGGACTAGGAGAAGGTGTAAGTTTAGTTTTGGGTCTCATGGTGGAGGTATTTGAAATGCAGCCTAAGGCATATGAACTTTATTTGGTAGGCACTGGACAACACTGAGAACTAAAGAACTATGGCCCGAAGATATTAAGTATTTTTAATAGCTAATTACTGTCAGCCAAGATATAAACTTCAGTCCTAGGCCAGAGCTGTCTCTTTTATACTATAGTGGCTTTTCTAGATGCCAGTTCTTTGTCCCCATATTCAGTGATCAAGACCTGTTGACACTTCCTTTGAAATGTTTTTAATTCATTAGTCCCTTGCATGTGGTTCATATTTATGCCTAAACCTAATATAAGCCATTATTGTATTCCTGATTCTCATGCTGTAGACTACAGACCAGTTTTCTTCAGTCTCTTCCCTCTCTGCTTTTTCTCTTACTTACCTGGTAAAATAAAAAGTAATTTTAATTTGATTATTATCTGGAACTTTTTTAACATGACTGCTTACAGATTTTAATTTTAAAGTAGTGCTTTTTCATGTCACAGCTAAAGAATTTTAGAATCTCAGAGACGGAAGCTTAAAAAGAAAAACCAACCTAGTGGTTAAAACTCATACTTGTTACTCATTCAATAAAAACAACAACAAAAATAAACAAACAAAAAGTTGCTTCTGACAGAAAAAAGAAGACACAGTCTGTGTCTTCATGGAGTTTGTCATTCGGCATGGATTGCAAATGAATGCAATGTGTTGTGGCAAGTACTGTGATGGGGTCCAGCAGAAGGCTCTATAAGGACACCTGTGGAAGTACCAAGTGCTGTTTTAGGGGGTTAAGGAAGCTTTCCCTGAGGAAGAGCTAACTAATTTAAATTGAAGAGGAGTTTTCATTCTCCATATCAAGTGTGCAGTGGAGGGCAGAATGGGTAGATTGGCCAAGAGTACAGAGAGGTTGAGGACATGGGTTTGGAGATGAGGGCGATTGTCGTGTGCTTTGGCAGTCTCAGGTAACTGGCTATGGATTAAGAAGTCAGTCTGAGGGAGACAGGTATATTGAGGGATGAAGTTGAAGAATAAATTGTATTCAGGCTGTCTGTAGTCTCATAAGCCATGTATAAGAGTCTCCTTGTCCCTGAGAAACATGCACTTTTGTGCCATTTATTTTCATTTTCTTTTTCTAGAAAACTTTACCTTTCATTTCAGTCCAACTCAAACCTCACACTTTATAGTTCATCCCAGCTTCTTTCCTACCCAAGAAAATTTCCCAAAATATGTCAGCTTTTTCTCCAAAACCATAACTCTTGTCTCTACTATTCATTTGCCAGGTGGTTCTATCTTTTTGTCTTACTATTTAAAAAATTTTTCATCACTCTGTGTATAGCTTCTCTATTCAGTTATGGATGGTAAATTCTTACTAATAATTGATCAGTACTTATAATTCAACATATTTTGAATCTGTAAAAATAAAACAATTAAAGTAAACAAATTCTTATCTATGGATCAGCAATTTAAAGGTTCTTAAAAATCTCTTCTTTGGTTAAAAGAAAAATCAGGCCTGAAATCAAGTATGAGAAGTAGCTTCAGAGAAAAATAATCTTATGAAAACCAAGCTCATATTGAATATTTGAGAATTTAGAGATTTGGGAATATTTGTTAAAAGCTAGAAATTTTAATAGAAACTGTATTTCTACTTTTGAAATTTAATGCATCCATGAATTTAACTTTAATCCTAATATGTTAATGTAGCCGTTATATTGGAGAGAATACTTTTTCAATGTATTACTTTAAATGTTGAGATTTCACACACATAACAAGTTATTGTCTTAAAAACCACCTGGAATTATGTGTAATGTGAATGCAGTAATTTTTAAATTGCTATAGCTGTGACTTCCGGTTAAAACAGTGTGTTTTTCATGTCCGTCAAACACATTATCCCTAGTTGTGTTGTTTTTTTTTCCCTCTTATTCAGCATGTATGTTATTGCATGAAACTAAAGGGAAGCTTAAATTTTTTTAGAGTAGAATATTTTTTAAGGCAGTTTAAGATTAGGAAATATGTGGTATGTATAAGACTTTTGTGAAACCTTGTTTAATCTTTATTGGAAAAGATGGTTTATCAACAATGTAAAAACAAAAGAATAACAGTGTATCTGTCTTAACTGTCTGCTGGCACTTTGAGGACATAGGAGTCCAGGGGTGTGTCCAAACTGGGAATTAATGAGGGTAGCATAGTGATGCAGCTAAAAAAGATGTAAAGTTTAAGAGGATAATTAAAATTAGAAGCTAAAGATCAGATTATCAGTGCAGAAAAGTAAAATAAGTATAATTTTTTCCAGGCAAGGCCTTTCCTCAGAGGTTTTTGTTTCTACTCTAGTTCCTAAGGAATAAGATTTACTTAACCAATGTGTAAAATACACAAGAGGAGGGAGTGCAGATTATAATTGTGTTAATGACAGCTAGGATTGATTGAACTTTTCAGTGGAAACAAATTCAGTATCTGAAGTGAGTAAAAGTCAAAGGCTTTGTGATAATGATAAATGATTTATAATAATCACTGTAATAATTTTATAACCTTTCTTTCTTTCTGAAATTATATTATATATCTTTTCCCTCCAACTTCTTCCCCTGCCCTTCCAGAGGCTCTCCCTATAGAGAAACTCCTTTGGGCCATTTTGAAAGCTATGGAGGGACCCCCTTTTTCCAGGCTCAGAAGATGTTTATAGATGTACCAGAAAATACAGTGATACTGGATGAGATGACCCTCCGGCACATGGTTCAGGATTGCACCGCTGTAAAAACTCAGTTACTCAAACTGAAACGGCTGCTGCATCAGGTTAGTATGTAGTGAACATTTTCAGCTCTGATATTTTGAATTACAAAATGGATTGACTTTACTTTTTTTTTAAAGTATAGTTGAATTTCTAATGTCTACTTAGATTTGTGGAGAAATAATGGTTTAAATAGTACATAATAGGAACTTCTCTGAGAGGAAAAAAATGTGTGATTTTGCATGGTGGTCTCAATACAGTCCCCAGCCTTTATGAGCTATGTGATATTTGGTAAACTCCCTGCGTGTTTCCTCGTTTTTATAGTACCTACATTGTAAGTTTGTTGAGAGAGTTAGAGTTAGTAGTTGTAAATTGAGTGATTTAATACCTGAAACATAGTAGGTGTTCAGTCCTCAGTGGCTGCTACTATAATTTCAGCTAAGTGAGAAATAAGGAATAACAATTTACATAATCATATAATTTCATTTTTATTTGAAACCTTCAAGTTTAATCATCCCCAGTCTTCTCATTTTTTTTTGGAGAAAAGCTAGATGATATGGTTGTCCAAAGACACATGGTGAGCTGTTGGTAGAACCTGGCTTCTGATTCAATAGCACTTTCTTTCTTTGAGCAGAGCACATACAGACAAAGTCCAATGCAAAGCAGAAAGCTAAGGAATAAAATACTAATTTTAAACTGGGAATATATTTAGTTTTAAATCTATATTTGTATTTTGTAGACTGGGCAAGTTTAACTTAAAATTATGGTTGAGAAAGAACAGTCTGGATTTTCTTCTCAGTTTACATTCTGAGTTACCTTCCTCAGGATTGTATATTCTAACTTCTTATGATCAGGGACCAAGTCTTAGAATTTCCGGTGGCCATCAAAACCATCTAGCAGCCATCAAGATAGATACTCAGTAAAGGCTATTTGAAGTGAACTGTGGCTCCTCTGTTAGTAACTACAATTAGTGTGAATATCCTGTTAGTCATGTAAATTGTTTTATATTACTTGATTGTGGATTCTCTGGACCTTCCTTCCTTCCTTCCTTCCTTCCTTCCTTCCTTCCTTCCTTCCTTTCCTTCCTTCCTTCCTTCCTTCCTTCCTTCCTTCCTTCCTTCCTTCCTTCCTTCCTTCCTTCCTTCCTTCCTTCCTTCCTTCCTTTTTCTTCCTTCCTTTTTCTTCCTTTCTTCCTTTCCTTCCTCTCTTCCTTCCTTCTTTCTTTCTTTCTTTCTCTTTCTTTCATTTTTTGCTCCATTCTTTTTTTTTTAAAAAGTTATCTATTTATGTTTTTGGCTGTGTTGAGTCTTTGTTGCTGCGTGCGGGCTTTCTTTAGTTGCAGTGAGTGGGGGTTACTCTTTGTTGTGATGTGCGGGCCTCATTGCAGTGGCTTCTCTTGTTGCGCAGCATGGACTATAGGCGTGCGGGCTTCAGCAGTTGTGGCTTACATGCTCTAGAGTGCAGGCTCAGTAGTTGTGGTGCATGGGCTTACTTGCTCCTCAGTATGTGGGATCCTCCTGGATCAGGGATCAAACCGTGTCCCCTGCACCAACAGGCGCAGGTCCCTATTCTTCTTCATTCAAAAAGGTAGATATTTAACTACCTTTTGAAAAGACACTTTTCTGTGCTAAGGCCGGGAGCAAGAAAGTGGAGGATCCTTTTCGGATCTGAGGTTCTTGTACTCCTCTTGAGGCAGAAAGAGTTTCAGTGATTGAAACACCCAGTCATAAAGCTTACAACTTAGTTTAACTGTAACTAGGATATAGATTCTCTTCATAGTATTTCTCTTCTTGCTGGTTCTGGGAGAAGATTTTCTGTCAGGAGCTTCAGAGACAAAGGAAAGAGAAGGTAGAAAAGGTGGTAAATAGCTAAAATATGTTAAATATCTACTTGGAGTTAGTCATTGTACTAGCTTTACCACATAGCCTCTTTTGTGTCTGGGTGTATTGCCCTAAAACATGAAGCATGCTTGAATATCATCTAATTAAGACCAGGCCACCTCTAATAATGAGTAAAGTAGCATAATTCAGGAGAGAATAGGTGAATTGGTAACCAACCATAGGTACCATAAAAATAGGAAACGGTTCTTTGAGACAACGTTATGAAAAACTGTGAATATCTTAATGGCTCTTTTCTGTCATTATGGCCTCTGAAATTTTAGATAGTACACATTGATCAGATTGACTTTATCCTTTGTATACTCAGTGAAAACAAATTATGAGAAGAAAATTGTCTTTTTAAGACATCTTTAAAGTTTCCCAAAATGCTAAAAGAAGTTAAAAGCTGAATTAGTCCAATATTTTGTATAATTGCCTCTTTTTTTTTTTGGCTGCATTGGGTCTTTGTTGCTGTGCACGGGCTTCCTCTAGTTGCAGCGAGCGGGGGCTACTCCTCATGGTGGTGTGCGGGCTTCTCATTGCTGTGGCTTCTCTTTGTTGTGGGGCACAGGCTCTAGGTGCATGGGCTTTAGCAGTTGTGGCTCGCGGGCTCCATAGCACAGGCTCAGCAGCTGTGGCACGTGGGCTTAGTTGCTCTGCGGCATGTGGGATCTTCCTGGGCCAGGACTTGAACCCGTGTCCCCTACATTGGCAGGCGGATTCTCAACCATTGCGCCACCAGGAAAGTCCAGTTGCCTCTTAATGTTACTAAATTTTAATTTAGTAACATTAAAATTTAATGTTACTAAATTTTAAAAACTTCAGTGTAATACATACACATGGCTTAAAAAAATCACATAGTATCGGGAGGCTTAATGAAAAAACAGTATTTCTGTCCCTCTCCCCACTTCAGTCAGCCTTTTCTAATCTGAACAGGTTACTATCTGAAGTTTCTTTAGAACTATCATACAGGGACTTCTTTTGTCATATTCTGGGATTTCGACCATTATTTCCTGGATAACATATCTTCTTTTTTCTTAGTTTACTCCCTTATTTAGCTGGAGTATATCCTTAATTTACTTCCTAAGAGAGGGCAAATGGGTGGTAAATTTTTTTAAATTAATGTGTCACTGAAAATCTCTTTTTATCTACTCTCACATTTAATTGATACTAATAGTTTGGCAGGGATGGAGTAGTTTGGCTGGGATAGAAGTGAGTTTTTCCTTAGAAATTTGAAGGCATTGCTTTTCTAAGATCCAGTTTAGCCACTGAGAAAAGTCTACTACATTCTAATCCATTTTACATTTTGTTTTGTCTGTTTTTAATCTCTCTGGGAGATTTTTAGTCTTTTATTTATGGCATTCTGCCATTTCACAGTGATATCCTGGGATTTTTTTGTTTGTTTGTTTTCCACTTAATGTATGGGTAATTAGTGAGCTTTTTGAAGATTCATGTAGTGTGAAATTTTCTAAAGTCATTTCTATGATTATTTTCTTTACCCTGTTTTCTGTTTCTTTCTGGAATTCTTGGTAGTCAAAACTAGAACTTATGAATTTTCAGTCTTTTTTCTTGCATATTTTCCTTTTCTTTGAGTTTGATTATGTTCCTGGTATATTTCCTCAACTTCATATTCCAGCTCCCTGTTTCTGTTGAATTATTTATCTTGGCAATTGTATTTCCAGTTTCGCAGAACTCTTTATTGTATACCTTTCCTTATTCATATCATTCAGTTCTTATTTTGTCAGTAAACTATATTAAGTAGCTTGTTTCTGTTCTTTTTTGTTAAGATTTCTCAGGTTCCCTACATTATTATCTCTTTCTAAATGGTCATTTTGTTCTTTGTGTTTATTTTAGTTTCTCTTTTGGAATATTTCTTCAGATGTCTAATGATTCTTTGTTGTTTATTAATATTTAAGAGTGAGGGGGGAAAAAGTTGGTTCAGGACTCTTTATACATGGGCTGGGCTTGTCAACTGGCTGGTTTCATTTTACAGTGATGGATGGATGTCAGTGGACCTTCAGTACTTCCTAAGTGGAGGATTTTTCCTTCTGAGGTTTTGCTACAGTTTCTACAGAGAAGAAACCTCTGATTTTTTTATTTTGCTTGGAGTAGAGGTAGAAGTCACCTTTGCATTTTGTAGACTTCCCTTTAGTATCTGTTACCAGTCTGAAGGAATTGCTTTTGTGTTAGTCTGGGTTCTCCAGAGAAAAAAGAACCAATAGTGTGTGTATGTGTGTGTATTTATCTATCTACATGCACACACACATGTAATATATGAAGAGGTTTATTATAAGGATTTGGCCCACATAATTATAGAGGCTGAGAAATCTCAAGATCTGTAGTTGTTAGACTGGAAACCCAGCTGACTGATGATAAAGCTCTAGTCTGATTCTGAAGGCCTAAGAACCAGGAGAGTCAATGGTGTAAGTTCAGAATCCAAAAGCCAGTGTCCCAGCTCAAAGACAGTCAAGTGGAGAGAATGTGAATTCTCCCTTACTCCACCTTTTCTTCTACTCAGTCCCTCAGCAGATTGGATAAGGCCCACCCACATTCGGGAGGCATTCTTTAAGTCCACATTGATGGTAGTTTTGGCAGAAGCATTGCAAGTGTGGGAAGCGAATCATATCCAGAGTAAGGACCATAAGGACAAAACACTGCTTCCGTAATGGAAGTGGTCCAGTGTAATCAACCTGCTACCAGATAGCTGGCCCATCATCCAGGGGATGGTGCCATATCAGGGGCTCAGTGTTGATCTCTGCTGCTGGCAGGTAAGGTGCTAAGCAGTGACTGTAGCCAGGTGGGCCATGTTGCTGAGTCCATGCATAATCTCCATCCCTGCCACTGTGGCTGTTTTGTTCATGAGCCTATTGGATGATAATAGGGGTGGCTGAAAAAGAGGCTGACTGGTATCCACAGAATGGGTCATCCTATCCACTTGATTATTAAAATCCTCCTCTACTGAGGTCACCCTTTGGTGAGCATTTACATGAGACACAAATATCTTCATATTTTTTGCCTATTCAGAGATGTCTATCCACATATATATCTTCTCCAGATTTCCTTGTCACCAATTTTTCACTCATATTCCTTCCAACTCCTGACTGTCCTGTCAAACCATTGGTCGCAGCCCATGAATTGGTATATAACTGTACCATTTTTCCTTCTAAGCAAAGTGAACAACTAGATTT